AGTATATAAATAAATTATCCGGACAACCCCGGACAATTGATTTACATCAGCCAATCACACGAAAGTCCTCCTATGAGGATTTACTATAACTATTCCTGAAACTTATCCCGGTTTTGATTAGTGCTTTTGTGTATTGTACTTTAAAATCAAATTCAAAGCTGCCAATTTTGAATTCCACAGAGACATATGATAATATGTTAATCTGATGATGCAATAAATTGTACGTTATTGGGCAAATATACGCATTTTTTTATTAATATCGATCAAAATATATTCTACGTGCACTTATATTTAAAAAATTAAGGAAGAAACAAGTCGCTGCAAATGAAAAATTATAAAAACAAATGTTTTACAAAGGGAAAATATATGTAACAAATGTAATAATATATATAAATATGTTGTAAACTTGAGTCGTATGAAAAATCTTTGTTCCTTTCAATGTTCGGAGCAGGATAGGTATCCGGGGGAGGGGTAAAGACATAGAAGATTTACACATTTTCTTCTGGAGTTGTACGCATAACGGTTTCCATTCTCTTTACTCGAATATAATCAGAGAAACTCCGGATTACGATAAACCAACCCAAAAACATAAGTAAATAACTAAAGAAAAATGTACATTAACGATCACTATAGAATATAAAATAGAATAGCAAAATTTTCATATTTATTTTTTAAAGTCATAATTTCGACTAACCTTAACCATGCACTTCTAGCAAGCATTTCTTTATCATTCATATCATCATCATCACCGTAATATTGGTAACTTTCTTCTTGTAAAGCTCTACCACGAAGATAGAACCCATATTGAACTAATGTAAAACCCAAGCCAGCTCGGGAGCCGTTCTATGATACAATAAAAATAAATTTCAATTAGATTAGATCTTTTATTAAATGTGAGATGCTGAGTTTCATTAAATTACCTTGGCAGCATGATTTGTATGCAAAAGATAAGTCAACAAAAATCCAACAAATTGGAAGCTCATCGATACTTGAATAATTATCAAGAGTTAAAAATGAATGAAAGAGATAAAAGACAATGCTGAAATAATAAAATTGATAACATTTGTCTACCGAGCATATTCCATACAAAACTGAACACATTTCCTACAGGAAGACCTTCAACAAAGATCTCATCACCACTCATCCCAGGTGCAATTATAGTAGTTTCCCAATAAGGTGGTGCTGCATCGGCAGCGGCAGTCTCATATGGCTTTTTATTATGACAAAAAAGTGTAACGTAAATTTTAGTTATCAAAAAAGTAAACTTAAAAAAATCAGTCTACACAAGATAATTTTTGTCTATATGCCATAATTAATTTCCTTATAGAAATATCTATCACATTATCACCCTCTCATCCTCACACCCTCATTGCACATACCGGAGGCAATTCTTCTTTTTCAGTTTCTTTCTCGGGTTTAGCTGTCAAATTAGACCAAACACCATCGGTGCTTGAAGACAATTTCAAAACTCTAACAGTATCAACATTTTCATTTTCGTTTTGAGAATTATTACTGATATCATTGCCATTATTATCGTCATTACTGTTGTTACTCGAAGAGCTACTGTTGATTGTAGTAATCTGCTGTTCGGCAACCATCGGTGTTGTTTCACTTTCTATTATCTCATTGGTGTATTCTAGCGCCGGAGCAGACAACTCAACTTCCTGAACATCATCTTGTCCCTCTTGACTAGGAACCTAAATCAAGAAATGAAAAAATCTACTTAATCTTCTATGCACAATGCTCGAGATTTTTTATAAAAGTATAAATCTCACCCTAGTGTATTGACTCATGGTGAATAGTAATAGTAATTATAGTATATTATTACGAAATGCTCAAAACTTTATAAATAATATTTTAAATTAAGAAAAGATAAGTTTATTTTGGTTAAAAGAAAGAAATAATATATTATCAGTTCTCATATGTTCCTTTATACAGTATAAAAAGCAAAATTAAGACACTTATTGCCAAGAACAAGCATCACTGTATATAGTAGGTAGTACAACGTTTATTGATAAACTACTATATTGATTAAGAATCACGTATCACATGACACGCTCAAGTTATATCTTTTGATTTTATCAATATTCATTACTATTTGAAGATCTTGCCATCTGCAAGTTTCTTGCCGTCAAGATGACCATCCCAAGCCTAGTAAGTAGAGATAAATGATTCGATTGTTACCCTAAAATTTAAAATCCAAAGAGAAAGATCAAATTCGAATAAGTCTTACCAAATAATCCTCGAAACTTGAACGAACAGCAGGATCACTATGATCAACCTTTGTGAAGTTATAACTTTCATAGTCAGCAGCATCATATACTATCAAAAAGAAGAAAACATTGTTATTAACGTAACATTAATTAATTGAATAAAGAAAATTTTTGTACCTTCTTCTGGTATTTCTTGACCCCGGATTACAAAATAACCGGCAATTTCATTATTGTTATCTAAATAGAAAGTCAATTATTAATTTAAAATGCAATTTTATTATATAGAAACATATATTTATTAAATAATGTTATATACCTTCGCCTAGAACCAACAGACTACCAAAAGCATATTTACGAGCACGTTCTAGACGGTTATAAAATCCACCAATGAGATTTGAGCTTTGGTAGATTTTTTGAAGTTCTGAGTTATACTTGTAATCTGCGCGCCAAATGGAATAACCTTCGGGATCATAGTGTTCCCAGAACCAGTTAATAGCCGTTGGACGAGTATCATTATTAGAGTAGAAGCGCTTCCATTCTTCAAGATTTAATTTACTAGGTGGAAGAGAATCTAATTTGCTCTTTGGTTTAGGTTCAAGTTTTATTTCATCCTCCTCCTCTTCGTCTACTTCTTTGGCTTTAGCTTCCTTCTTTGGCTGCTCTTTTTTGGGTTCCTTCTTTTTTTCTTCTTTCTTGGGAGCTAAATTTAAACAAAAATTAATTTTGTATTATCAACAATTTTAAAGTTATATAATATTAAGACTTACGAGTCCAAACTTCAGCAACTTCCACAAGAGGAGCTTCACCCAAAACTTTTTTGAAGCTAGGTTGATTAACGAGTGTCACATACCAACGCGTAAGATTTTTATAATTTTTGCGGAATTCTGCGTCTAATACGTGTTTGAAACCTTGATAGAGTGCAGTGGCCACATTGATATCTGCCAATGTTATACGTTCTCCCACAAGATATGTCTTTTTCAACAATACTTTTTCCAACACCTCTAATGACTTTTTCAGACTATCAACAGCTTGAGAATGAGCCTTAGATCAAAACAACATTAATAACCAAAACCTAAACAGTAATAAATATACAATAAAAATCTTATCGATTACTTACTGGTTTATTATAGGATGCAATTTTAAGAATAGGATTTATCCAAGTATTCACATGAGGTGTGATCTCATTTTCAGCGAAAAGAATATAATGAAGAACTTGTGACGTTTCCTTTTTATCTTTGCCTAATAGATGAGTACCCTCCTTATGCGAAGCCACTTGTATTTGTTATTAATTAAAATATCGTTCATTAGTAACAATCCATGCCAGAATAGTTATATCCATATAAGCAGAATTTGATAATGTATGTATATATATATATATATATATATACACACACGCACACATTGAACTTCAGATGAAAAGGTCATCACTATTTATATCAGCTAGGGATAACTGTTTTAGGTATTTTATCTCATCATATTCATTTTATATTTCTTTGCATCAATCATAATTAGATAAAGCAAACTTACAATAATGTGCAATCGCTCCAGATTCATTCAAATGAACGCCATCGGTACTTTCGAACGCGGGGACCTAAGTGTCGATCAATTTACAATGACCGATAATTCACTTTTAATGTCTTTATTCAACTAGGATAATAGACGATGACTGTAGATTATGATTATATATACCTTGCTATGGTGGAATTTTGCCAAAAACTCTGGCGATTTGTCATGAGTCCCCAACTCAAACTCATTAACATCTACCTCAAGGTTGTTGTATTCAGCAACAATGAGAATTTTGTAGAGTCGAGGGTTATGGGCGTTACAGTAAATTTTCTAAAGCCAAAGAAAAACATGTTTTCAGTAAAATGTTATGCTTCATGTTACGTTTCCCCGAATTTGTGCAGCTGTTTATCGTTTGAATCAAGTCAGATAATTTAAATAAAAAATACGTAAGGAAGCTCAAAGTAATTCACTTAAAGTTTTTATTAGCCCATTAGGCAAACATTAGAAAACAAAAAATTTCATAGAGTACTTACCCCGACTGACGACATTTTTGTTAAGGATAATGATAATGATAATGTAAAGAATTAGAATTGAATGAACGCAGAAATCTCGTACAACTTATGGCACCAAAAAAAAATTCTTTGATCAAACAGTACTTCAACAAAAGATCTTCACGATAACTATCTGATTTCTGTTCGCCCAATAGAAAATGAACGAGTGGTAGTCAAAAGAATTGCTGGTCGGAAAGAATTTTATCAGTGTTTGGGAACACTTATACTTGTCGAGATCTTTGATTAAATTAAGTAATGTATGCTCAACCACCGCCTCAACAACAACCACAACAACCACCTGCAAATCAACAGCAGCCTTTAGCATCACATCGCACAGGCACTGCACAACCACCTCAACCACCTCCAGGTTGGCGGCCGCCTCCTCGTCCTTCACCATTTCAACAAGGTGCAAGGCCTGCATTTCCATCTGTACAACGCCCACCTGTAAATGGACAATCAGTACCCTTTCAACGACCACCGACTCCTGCAGGTACTCTTGTTTTGGCATTGGTTTTGAATTACGAGTTCAGATATTGGGCAAATAAATAGTGAATAAATATAAGATCGCGTCTCTAAGAAAATTTTCCTGATTGCATTAATTCTCTTCAAGGCATTAGACCTGGTCAGGTCCCACCTCCTGGCACTGCACCTCAATTCACAAGTCAAAGACCATCTCTGACATCAACTTCAAGCAATTCTGCTTTAAATTCTGGATATCAACAACAACTACAGCAACCAAATGTTCCAAATTCGCCTCAACCTCTACAATATCCTCCTACCAGACCTCCAATTCCGCCCACCAATGTTCGACCACCAGATAGTGTTAACGTGGATAATGTATCGAATCAAATGGAAACTTTATCCATAAATCAAGGTTCTTCACAATATGATGTAAGGATTGTAATAAAGATCGAAATCGGGGATATAAAAAATATACATGAATTTTCTTGTTAATAAATTTAATTATTGCCTTTAGCAAATTCCAAAGACCAAAAAAGCTCCAAATCGTGTATACCATCATTTAACGACTGAAATCAATACTTCTGGATACTCTGGCCCAACTGCAACACAACCTTTTGTGCAGCCAGCACCACCCAATATGTATTCACCATCAACCGCCAACAATATAAACCAACCTGGTCAGGAACCACCACCAAACTATAATTCCATAGTGCCACAGCCATCGCATGTCCAAGGGATGCAAACAATGATGCCTCCTCAATATATGCAAACTGGACAAATACCTGGTCCTCCACAGCCATTACAGCAGCAACAACAACTACCGCAACCACCTCGTCCCAATTCAATGTCTGCACCTCGCGCAAGGATCGACCCAAATCAAATACCTTCACCAGTAGTTGTTCAAGAGCAAGATCAGACTGTGTTTGATGAACAACCTTATTTAACCTGCTCAAAAACAGCTACTATACCACTTGCGAGCACAAATTTTAAAGCTATTGATGAAGGTATTGGTTGATGAAATTTTTAAATTATTTTTCTCAATAATATAATACTCAAATATACTTATACAAATATGTTTCTACGTAATAGGAAATTCGAATCCACGTTTTATGAGATTAACATTATATTCAATTCCTAATACCGAAGATTTACTTCAAACATCTCATCTTCCTTTGGGCGTTATTTTACAGCCACTGGCAAAGTTGAGAAATGACGAAGTACTAGTCATTTATAACTTTTTGGTCAATCTTATTTACGTATATTTTTTTTATTAATATGTATTGCTTAACTGTAGACACCAATTCAAACAGTAGATTTTGGAGAAGAGGGGCCAGTACGTTGTAGACGCTGCAAATCTTATATCAACCCGTGGGTGATATTTCTTGATGGCGGACAGCGTTACATTTGCAATATGTGTCAATTTTCTAATGAAGGTTTGCTTCGAATTTTTAGTATTATTTTTATTTCAATTGATTGTGTATTTGTTAATTCAAGCATTTTTCACAAATTAGTTCCTTCTGAATACTTTTGTAATTTGGACATGAGTGGAAGACGAGCAGATTTCGATCAACGACCTGAATTAAAATTTGGAACTGTCGAGTTTACAGCACCAAAAGTAATTAAACCATCGATTATAAAATAATGATTTAATATGAATTGAGTTATATATATATATATATTATAATTTCTGTGAACAGGAATACTGGGCAAGAGCTCCTTCACTTGTTTCTCATATTTTTGCCATTGATGTCTCATGGAATTCCATCAAAAGCGGTATGCTTGTTAGATGCGTTGAAGCCATTCGAGATATCTTGTACAATACTCCCAATAGTATTCCACAAGGTGGCAAGATTGGCATAATTACGTTTGATAAGGACGTACATTTTTACAATCTTACGGTAAATAACCTTATTTATCTATCAAGATTTTAAAAAAAATTATATATAATAATGATCATTGTTTATTTAGTCAACTATCGAGCAAGCCCAAATGTTGGTTGTACCGGACATTAATGACATGTTTGTGCCCCTTCATTCTGGATTACTAGTTGATCCTATAGAATCAAGGTAAAATGTTCGATTCATTTCATTTTTATCTTTAAACTCAAAATTTTATGATTAATGTTGAAATTGGATCCCATAAAGAGAAGTGATAGAAGGGCTGCTAAATTGCTTGCCAACCATGTTCGCCGAAAATAAAACAAGTGAATCAGTACTAGGGTCTGTCGTCAAAGCTACTCATACTGCTCTGGTAAGAGATTAAAGAATAGTTAGTTTTTGTTTGTGAACTTTTTTCAACTTTCTATTTTGACATAAATGATTATTTTATCCTTAGAATGAGACAGGAGGAAAAGTTTTTGTTTTCCAAACATCCCTTCCAACTTCCGGACCAGGAGCAATAAGAAATCGTGATGATTCTAAGCTATATAATACTGAGAAGGAGCGAACATTATTTGGTCCTCAAGATGGATATTATAAGAATCTTGCTATTGATTGTGTAGATGCTGGTATTTCGATTGATTTGTTCTTGTTCCCTAACGCGTACATAGATGTGGCAACAATCGGTATATATGATTCCTTGTTTGATTGTTTTCCTGATAAAAGTTGTTAGCTTAATTAGTTACATATTCGATCTTTTCAGGGCTTCTATCTTCCTTAACCGGAGGTGAAACATATTTTTATCCAAACTTTGACGCTGAAAAGGATGGGAAAAAATTTGCAAATGAGCTCAAACACGGTATTACAAGAGAATTCGGATACAATGGGTTAATGAGAATAAGATGTTCCAATGGTAAGTATTTTTTATTAAAGACTAGTTCTCGTTATAATTTCTGTGATTTATTTTAATTTGCACATTAATTTACAGGGCTGAAAGTTGAAGATCACTATGGCAATTTTAATATGCGAAATTCCACTGATCTTGAACTCGCTGGTATTGATAGCGACAAAGCATTCGGTGCCTTACTAAAATATGATGGTAAATTAGACGAAAGATCGGATGCCTTCATCCAATGCGCTCTTTTATACACAACATCGGCTGGCGAACGAAGAGTGAGAACACACAATCTTAGCATACCAGTTACAACTTTACTTGGTAACGTGTTCAGGCACGCTGATATGGACACAACTGTGAATTTTCTGGCAAAACAAGGTGAAATTCAATTTAATTGCTGCGTATTTTTTAATTTCTCTGTTTCGCTTTATTAACTTTTACTTATCCGCCTAACAGCCGTAGCGAATACTGTAACAAAACCTTTACGCGAAATCCGTGATCAGTTGACCGATAAATGTGTTAAAATATTGATGTCATATCGAAGGCATTGTGCCGCGTCTAGCTCAGCTGGACAACTTATTTTACCTGAAGCCTTTAAGCTGTTCCCGTTATATGCATTAACAATGCTAAAGTCAAAGGCGCTACGTGGTGGTATGTATTCTTTTATTCACTGAATTTCTTTCAAACCAATTTATCAAAAATATTAATATATTGTTTTGCTATAGGTGTAAATCTTACAAGTGATGCTCGTGTACATTTTATGCGATTAATAAAAAGTATTGGTGTAGCAGAAAGTATAGTACTATTTTATCCACGTATGCTTCCGGTTCATAATCTCTCGGAAAAGGTTTGTTGATAAGGCGTCTTTTTTCACTATTTGACACTATTGTACTCCATCCAGCATATATAAATGATAATTTGATTATCGCAATTAAAATATTCATCGATAATTTGCAATTATTGAATGAGAAAAATAAACTTACTTTTATTGAAAATTCAGGTTGGTTATCCGGATGCATATGGGCGGGTGAAATTGCCACCATTGATACGTGTATCATATGCGAGATTAGATCCAGAAGGAGCATATTTATTAGGTATTAACAATATTTTATTGTTCCTTGTCATTTCTTTTGATATATTTATAAACTAAATTTTTATTTCTTTAAATCATTCTTAGAAAATGGTCAAATATTAATTTTCTGGATAGGCCGTCAAATTTCGCCTGAATTTGTGAAAAACGTTTTTGGAGTTGATTCTATTGATTTTATTGATCCAAAAATCGTAAGCACGACATCATCATACGTAATCACTTTCATCCTTTTATTTATTAATCATATAATTTCTCTATTATTTACTCAGTCTTCACTACCCGAGCTTGATAATCAAACATCGATACAAATACGCACAATTATTTCATATCTTCAATCACAAAGGTCTAAATATTTGCGTTTGACCATTGCACGAATGCAATTAGATCCCACAATAGAGATAGAGTTTCACAATCTTCTGGTAGAAGATGAGAACAACTTTGCAATGTCATACGTCGACTATTTATGTTATATTCACAAGCAAATACAAACAGAGGTAAGTATGAACGATTGAAGTTGATAAACTTTGCATCTTACAAGGACTTTCCGTTGAAGGATCTTTTGAATTATTGCGAGTCTTATCTATTATTGGTTATCATTCCATAAGCATTGAATGAGTGATAGGCAAAAAGGGTTAGGATTTATCTTGAGTTAGGTTTTTTTCTTAATTGGACAAGTCATACTTTCTCCTTTAGAACACTTTATTGTCCATTTTCCATATAACCTGTACTCTAAAATTTTGGTTGATTTATTTGTAACATAAACTTTAGAATTATCAGACACTGAATGAACATCACATGTAAAAGAAAATATTAATTAAAGAAAATAATTCGATCGATTTATTTATCTATCATGTGATTTAAACGAAAAGATTAAAAAAAGCAATTTCTATTTTCTTGACTTGTACAAATGGCTTCGATAGCATGTTTTTCAGCGCTTCGAACTTCTGTTGTGAAGAACGCTTTTTGGAAAAGTAATGGTAATAATATCATTGCATAAGCGGGTTTTATGCTGAACTTGTATTGTAAATAGGCGTATTGATAGGGCGAGTTTTGGTATAATAAAGTTGCTTTGTTGACTAGAGCAAGTAATGGATACTTGAATCCCAAACTTGTACATAAATCAGCTTTTCATTCAACACCAATTCATTTTCAAGGTATTGCTTTTGATTATATTTAATTTCAAATGATTTCGTTCAATCTAACACGTTATTTTCCCGTCTTCAGCCTCAGAAAAGCCAAATACTCCCGGCTTTGGCTCACCAAAATCATACGCCAAGAAAATCGAAGAACTTACAGAATACGGAAAATATTTATCGTCCATTCTCCCAAAGTACATCCAACAATATTCCGTTTATAAAGATGAATTGACAATCTACGTGGCTCCAAGTGCCATAATTCCTGTCATAACTTTTTTACGCGATCACACCGCAGCACAATATAAACAGGTACAAGACATATCTGGTGTTGATTACCCGTCACGCGAACATAGATTTGAAGTTGTATATAATCTGTTGAGTCTACGATATAATGCGCGGATACGTGTAAAAACGTATACGGACGAAGTAAAACCGGTGCCATCAATTGCCCCTTTATATAGCGGTGCTAATTGGTATGAACGGGAAGCGTATGATATGTATGGTATTTTTTTCTCGGGACATCCGGATTTAAGACGGATTTTGACAGATTATGGGTTTGAAGGACATCCAATGCGAAAAGATTTTCCGTTGACTGGTTACGTGGAAGTAAGATACGATGATGAAGTCAAAAGAGTGATAGTAGAACCGTTGGAATTGACTCAAGCATTTAGAAATTTTGAAGGTGCTGCATCTCCATGGGAACAGACTGGTGAGATATTAATCAATAATAATAACAATAATAGTCTCAATATCCGTGCCTTGTGTGAATTTCTGTTAATTCAATTACAATTACTTAGGCCCTGGACGTGATGATCGCCCAGAATCATTCAAAGTTGAAAAGTTACTAGCAAAACCAACAGCCGAAGCTGAAAAGAAATAACCATAAAGAAATGCCTTAATTTTATTTACTTGCTAAAATGCTGATAAAGTTTTATTATCAATAAATAATATGTGTATACTATTATTTTCTTAAACTGTAAATTTGATGATTTTCGTGATAAAAGTAAAATGTCCTCTGCAACAAGTAAGATAAACAAAAAATTTCTTATTTCTGCACCGGGTAAAGTCATTCTATTTGGAGAGCATGCAGTAGTTCATGGAAGGGTTGGTACCATATTCTATGAATAGGGTCAATATCATTAAAGTGTGCTAACCAAACCCCTTAAATAAGTATAATTTTTTTTTGCGTCAAATTTATTTATTTTTTTTAGACTGCAGTTGCAAGTAGTGTTGGACTTCGTTCCTATTTATATTTAGAAACGCGTGAGGAAGATCTCGTAGAATTGTATTTACCGGACCTTGGTGCCACTGCACCTTTTAGCTGGAAAAAGTCAGAACTTCTTCATGACTTTGCTAGAAATCTTAAGGAAAAAGGTGCTTAAAATTAATATGATAATTATACTTTTTCGAATCGATCTTTCTAATTGTCGAATCTCAATACGACTAGATTCCTTTAATCAAATACTTTATGAAAAAGTAAAAAAATCTATTGAAGGGAATTCGTTAATTCAAATTCAACAGCAACAAGCAGCCGCCACTGCATTTCTTTATTTATATTTGACTCTGGTTCATATCGTGGAAACTCGTCAAAAAGACCAAAAACAAGAACAGTATGGTGGATTTCGATTATCACTTTAGATTAACAGTTTCCATATTAAATTTGTTAAAATCTTATTTGTTTTTTTTTATTGAAGATTTGGACTGACAATTCGTGTAAGATCAACACTACCGGTCGGTGCGGGTCTCGGCTCTTCGGCTTCATACTCTGTGTGTCTCGCGACTGGCTTATTGCTGTCTTTTGGATTTATTGATATCTCTAATGCTAATGAAAATCACAGCATTGATACTGGTTTATTTTCTTCCTTCTCATCTAATGCTGAATTAATTAATCACTGGGCATTCCAAGCGGAAACGGTTCTTCATGGGACCCCATCCGGCGTCGATAATACTGTGGCCACCTTTGGTAAGTTTTTTATATTTATTTGAATTTAAATTATTAAAACTTATTTTGAATTTATTTCTAATTCAGGTGGTGCATTAAAATTCACAAAGGAATCCTCGGGATATCTTACGATTGAACATCTAAAAAGGTATATATGCCAAATTGATAGTATCTATCATTTTAGCTTTTTAGTATATTAACAATTAGATATAGCTTCCAGTCAATCCGCTTTCTTCTTGTAAACACCAAAGTTTCACGTGATACACGAACTTTGGTTGCAAATGTTGGAGTTAAACTTGAGAAGGTACGCAAATTAACTGCTTGATCAATAAATTACTATAATAAATATTATCTGTTTTTATAATATAGTACCCTGGTATCGTTAAGCCAATCTTGGATGCTATTCAAAATATTAGTTTATATTTTGTAACGCTTTTAGAGCATGGTAAGTATAATTCAATTATAATATGAAACGATTTCTCATGCTTGTTTCGTTAACCCGAATTTTTCTTTATTATATAAAAAGTTAGAGATAACGCCTTTTTAGAAAATTTTGAGGTATGGCTAAATTAATTTATTTCTTCAATAATATCATTATATCATCACTGATGATTGCTAAATTCAAAAAATAGTATCTAATCGATTCAAATCATCATCTCTTAAATTCTTTGGGTGTTGGTCATTTGGCTCTTGATAAAATACGAGAGATTACTGCACGCCACGGTTTACATTCAAAACTTACTGGCGCTGGTGGTGGTGGATGTGCACTCACTTTGTTACGTGATGGTAAATTGATTTATTATTTACTTACTTTGTGTTAACCAATTATAAATTCGATAATGAAAAATACTACTATTTCTGCACAGATGTCCAAAATGAAGTCATAGGACGCGTAAAAAAAGAGTTATCTGAATTCGAGTGTTTTGAAACCTCGGTTGGTGGACCAGGTGTTGGAGCAATTAATCCTCTGGGTGTTGTCAATGTTAATGAATTTGACACTATGGAAAAGTCGATGCTTCAAGAAATTAGTGGATGGCATTTTTTTTAAGGATGAATCTAATTGTAACAATGCAACAGCCAAATTGTAAGATCGTGTGTAACATAAAAATTCAAAAAATGTTCTGTTGCGAATTTCTCCAGGTCGTGATCACGCAAGTGGTGTTAGTGAGTATCGTATAGCCACCAGTTTAGAGTTCAACCTCTCAAAAAGTGCAAATAAGCGCCACTTTATAATATACGTATCTAAAATTTAATAGCAGATATAATATTTATTCTTCAAATTCATCATTTTCTTTGACAATATCTTAATATTCATCATTATTAATTTCAATATTATTCTCACAATCTGATTCAAATAAAAACTCATTTTCTGTATCATATTACACCGAACGCTAGAAATTAAAGCTATTTTGTGGCAAATTAAATTAAATCAGATTAAAATGAAATCTAGTAAAATAAATAATCAATGACGAAATTTAAGACAGAGATCTCTCTAAATGTACCCTTTATAAATACACACGTTACATACACCCTTTCTAAATGCACTCTTTATAAATGCACATAATATACATTCTTTCTAAATGCATGTTATGGTTCAGTTTCAACTTATAAGATTTCTAGTTATTACTTTTTATATATGCACACCCTTTCTAAATGCATACTCTATTTTTTTTTAAAAGAGATATACTTAGAGAGATTTCTTTCTACTATACTTTATTATTCAAAAAAAATTACCAGAGTTACATTTATTATTTTAATAAATAAATTTGCTTATTTTTAGATATAATTTTTCAATGATGAGAAATTCAAATTTTATAATAAATTATTATACGTATATTAATCTATACTAATTAATTATATATATATATATTCAAATAAAATAGTAAAGTGATTTAAAAAAATGATTTTATTAAATTACATTTTTGTGAAAAATTATTTTGAATTCAAGTATTATTTTTAAAAATTTGTCAAAATTAGACTTTAAAAAATGGTGCTTATTTTTGAAACTATATAATATTTAGTGCTTTTTTTATTGGTGAAAATTACAATCAGTTTTCAGTTTGGTTTTGCATTAAGTTTTCCAATATAAATATTTGATATTTCTTTTTATTAATAAATATTTAGTTTTTTCATTTTTTTGATATTATTACAAGTTTTTGATTTGGTTTTGTATTGGTATTGATTAAAAATTTTAATAAACATTTGGTCTCTCTATTTTATTGGTATCAATTTGATTTGTATTAATAAATATTCAGTTTTTTAAATACTAAATTTAATTTTCTTTAAAATTATATTAAAATAATATTAATTTTTCTTTGAAAGAAATAAGTTATAAATTTTATTAAATGAAAACAATTTCATTTTTTAATAATTATATTTCCAATATCAAAAAACAAATACTCAAATAAAATTATAATTCTCAAAATAATCAATAATTATTATGCTTGCTATATTATTAAAGAAAAAGTTAATCAATTATTATACTAAAAGATTAATAAATTATATTTCTTATAAAAAGAATTAAAAAAATTGTATTTTAATATTGTAAATATATTTTTTCAATGATAATAATAATGATATTAATGAATTAGAACAATATATATTTGAAAAATCTACCAACAAAAAAATTGATATTTGACTTGGTAAAAAGTAAATATTTTTTATTTTATTTATAAATAAATTTAATATTAAAAGTTTTTGCTTTTTTATAAGATTTATCAAATTCAATTTCCTTAACTTGCTAAAATGACTTGCAATTATTTAGCTATTTCTACTACTTCTATATTTTCTAAATAACTTTTTTCTTCTGGAGAAATTATGATTTCTGATAAAAGATTTAATCTTGCATTGAAAATAATTAGAGTTAGCCAATGTTTGAAATTATGAACTCAGGGTTCTTTAAAAAATAAATTAGACTTTTAATTTGTATTTTTTTGCTTTTTCTTTCTTATTTTATTTGGATTACATATATATTGAACTATCTTTATATATTAAATAATAAATCATATTATATTATAAATATATACTAAATACATACTGAAACTTGAATAAATACAAATTTATTTTTGAATTGCATCAAATTTATACTTGTACTTATACAAATTTAAAACTAAACTCAAACTGAACTGAACTTGCATTTGTATTGAATTAAACTTGAACTGAACTAAACTCAAACTTGTACTAAACTCAAACTTAAATCAAATACAAACTGAACTTGAATTTGAACTGAACTCGAACTAAACTCAAATTCGATATTGAACTCAAACTCGAATTAGATTTTTTGAAAAGTTCAAAAAAGATTCGAAGTTTGAATCAGACTTAAACTAAACTTTTTGATATATTCAAGAAAGATTTAAAGTTTGAACTAGACTTAAACCAGACTTTTTGATATGTTCAAGAAAGATTTGAAGTTTGAACTAAATTGAACACAAACTAAATTTGTCAAATTTGAATTGAACTTGAACTGAACTGAACTGAACCAAATTTTGGAACCCTAATTTCAGTACTATATGTCAGCTCATGTTGAATTTGATATAACTATATTACAAAAAAATAATATAAGTACTATAAATTCATCTTTTTACCAATATATATATTATATAAAATCTACTACTCAATATTAAATCAGCAGAGTTGATATAATTAAAACTATATATAGATTATATAATAAATTCATTATTTTATAGAATATAATTTCTAATTAAACATGAAATAGATATGATTTATTATAGTTTTTGTAATAAATATAGAGCTTCTGTAAAAGATATCTAATAAAGATAACAGACATATATGAGAGATTTAACTGATATCCAGAAATTTTATTATTGATTGAGAATTATATATAAACTATATAAAATTGAATCTGATATATTCTATAATATAAGTTATTAAAATATAATAGATCTAAAATTTTTATAAATCACATAATTAACTAAATCTCATATAATCGATAAATAAATCATAAAAAATTAATAATTTTAGCAATTTAATAGCTCATTAAAATTCTAAATACTCAGATAAAGAATGAAATAAATATTGCAAGATGAGAGCTATTAAATCAGATAAAACTCCAAGTGAATAGAGTAATCAATTCTATTTTATCTTATATATTTTAAAGAAAATGATCATTTATCTAATAGGAATACTAAACATCTTTTTCATGCAAAAAGATTAATTCAGTTATCAAATAGGATTTTATATGTATCTAAAAATGAATTTGCCATCTGTCAACTTTGCGATTAACTTGTATATATTAGAGAAGCAAATATGTTAAGAGTTATATTTATAGAGAAATTAAGAAATATTGAACTACAAGTTGTACTGCTTATATTTACATTAGTTTTGAGAAGTTTGAAAAGATTAAACAAAAACCAGAATCTCAATATTCATTCAATGATAAATATGCATTACATGATTATAAATTGTGGATACAAAATGCTATCAGAAGAATTAAACATGCTAGAGAAGTTGGAAAAAATATCCAAGTTGTAAAGATCATACAACAGAAATGGGTAGAAATTTTCTACTAATCCGATGACATGACAGCCAAGCAATTAGCTGAGCATTACAAATTATTATGAGCAGTTTGAGAAGAAATATATCAAATTAATAATGCAATATATATATCTATTTATTATAATAACTTATTTATATATCTATTTATTTGACGTAACTTATTTATATATCTATTTTAAAATAAAAACATCTAAGATATCTCTTGAGGGCTAGTACTTTGCTTTGCGGGTATAAAATACCCAGACCAGACTTTTATTTACTGCTATTTTGTGATGATTAATAACTTTTTTTGTCATTTTATAATTTTCATGAAAGATTCCAATTTTTTCTACATTATAAAATAAAAGTGTTACTATATACTATGAAATTCAATAAAGCATATTCAGATTTGATTCATCAATTGCCTCCCTTTCTTGTGTGTGAAGCTTGGAAGCATCTTTTTTCCATTTGTTATATCAATAATAAATATTCAGGTTATTTTGCTATATATTAATTAAATGATCTGTGATATTTATTCGTAATAAATTTTCAATACGTGCTATTGGCCGAAACCTATCATTTAATCCTAACAATCCTAACAACCTAACGTTAACGAAAAATGCGCTTTTTGATCCAATTACTATTGTTTTGTTTAATCCAGGAAAGTATTTTATGAATCTTAAAACAGCTGTGGCATCACACA